CCATAGCCCCTGAAGGTAGGAGGCTCTGAGGCCTTGTGCGTAATAATATAGCGATCCTTGCCCTCGTAAGGGAGCGGATGTGACTCCCCTGTCTGCGGGTCGAAGACTCGCCTGGGCGGCGCCCTGTCTCTATCTCTGTCCCTCCAATAGGWATCCCTCAAACTCTCTCTCCAGTCGTCTCCGTGCCTGTCCGCTGTGGTGTCTCTTCGCTCGTACTCGGGAGAGCGTCTCCTCGTCACTTCTCGCCATTCGCTCGAGATGCCTGTCTTTAGAGCTCCCCGCGGCTCTGTCACAGCCGATTCGCCCCTTTCGTCGGGCCCTTCGTCATTGGTTTGGTCGGCCCATCTCAGCGGCGCTTCACGCCTAATTCGGTTTTTGAGATCTCTCAGGGATCGATCGGGCGATGTCCTGTACTCTTCTCCCACTTCGCCCATGATCGGTTGTGACCCCATCGTGTCGGGTTCCATCGGGCCCTCGGAAGTCACAGTCAGGTATCCTAGTCAAGTGTCTCGGCCCTGACTCTATGACAGTCCCCGCAGCCCGGACCAATGATAGTCACGGCAGCCCGGACCTCTTTCTTTACCACTACCTACGTCTTCCTTTGTCACGACCTACGTCTACCTCCAGTCTTAGCTCTAGACTACCCTCATCTACCTCTTCCGGTAGTCCGTACCGGTCGCAGATCCCACGCTCTCCTCTAGCAGCCGAGGTAAGTTAGTGCTATAATCACTTGTAACCTCATCGCCGACCGCTCCAATATGTCATAAAACGTCTCAAAATCCTTTTTATCTCCATCATCCTCTATGGTTTCTAAAGTCCTTATCGTCTCCTTCCAGTACCTATTGTGAGCAGCTAACACCCTGAGTATGGCACTGTCTGTTATAACTCTCCCTAACTCCCCAGCTTTCCTGGCCTCGCTTATCTTCAACCTCTCAGCCTCTCTGGTCGTCTCATACCATGCCCTTATCCGCGACCGTCCTTCAGAGGGTGTCACTCGGAGCACGTATTTTATCCTCCGTCCTCCTTCTAATCCGATCCAAAGTCCTGTCCCCCTAGCCTCACGCAGGGCACGTCGAACACACTCCGCCTCCTCAACTATGCATAGTCCACTATGGAGTTGGAGCTCTACGATCACTAACACCAATGGTCCGTCTAATCTCCCTACCACATGCAATGAGTACCGATCCGT